ACATGTGCCTGCGCTTACTGAATTCCAATGGGAATAAGTGGAAGCCCCTAACGTATCTAAAAGTGGGAGGCTGAGACACAAAATTGTGTATGGGATCAAATCAGACCACAATCCTAATTTTTCATACAATGTTTCTTGGAGAAGGTAATAAATAACCTTTAAAATGACTCCTATTGCTCTTGTAGGGAAAATAATAATCAGGGTTTTCAGTAAGAAAAGGAACAGGTAGTTCAGATTTAGCTCAGGTGTGGGTAAGCACAGTCTAGCTGTGATTTGAATACTGGCTCCTTCCCTCTTAGCTATGTCTTCTTGGGAAAACTAGCTTCCTTTAAGACACATTTTAAATCTGTGAAATAGAGATAATATTGGTACTCAATGCTGCTGTAAGCACTTCAAATAATATATAAAAATAGAATCTCATATTAGATACATAAGGTATGTTATCAATCACAATCATTAATGTACATTTTATGGTTTGTACTATTCATGTAAAACATTAACACTTAAAGTTTAAATTGACTTAAAATTTAACTTCTGATAAGATTTAGGTATTGGCCACTTGGAAGGGATAGAAGGGATAGGTTGAGAAGGAAACCAGAAGCACAAAGAAGATGGTAGTCGCTTGCTTAAGTGATTTGAATTTATTGACAGTGCACACATAACCATGTACATATGATGCACAGTTTGAAAACAAAGGAAAGGGGAATTGAAAAAATTAAAATTTAAATTGGGCTGGGTTGGAATTATAACCATGTGAAAAGAAGCATTCTGTGTGCCAGTTGGCAGATTCAGTGAGTGACACGATTGCAACATGAGTTTGAGGAGAACCTGTAGCTTTGCATTCCTGTGAAGTGTAACTAAGGTTTGCAGAAGTCTGTTGTGAATATCTCTCTTCCATGTGCAAAGTGGAGAAGAAAAGCTTGAGCCAATGTTCTCCAGCAGGTGCTGAATTCTTTTTCTTTTTCCTCACCAATCATTGCATAAACCCATTTATATTTCATATATAACACTAGTTTTATATCATTACTTTATATGTTTTGTTTGATTCTTGAAATATTTTCTAACTTTTCTGGTTGCATGATTTCTCAAAATAAATAGTACTGAGGAAAAGTAATTATCCAATTTGCACAAGTGTCAGGAAATTTCATTCTTAAATATAGACATGTAATTTATTGTAAACTATGTCACTCTGTTTAATGTTTCAAAGCATTATTTGAAAAAGACTACACTATATTCTTCCTCTCTCCTAGACAGAAAAGAAAAATGAGAAAACATTAAAATTCTTAATGTTGTGAGCTTCCACTATCTTTGTGATTTTGAAATATGATTTTTAAACAAGGTTTGTCAACAGTGCCTCGCATGCTGAAAGTCTGCCTAGGATAATTTATGTTGGCTCAAAAGAGAAGAAAATATTTCCTTGATTTTCCTGTGTGTGGGGCAGTAACAAGTTTTGATGAGCTGAAATAGTTTATTTGAATGGTTTTCAAGTCAGTTATAAGATTAATTTTATACTACCTTTATCTACATAAAGAGATGATACATTTAAGTGCAGTACACTTTTCACAGTGGAACATCTCTTTGTCTTTTAGTACAAGTAGTTTACTCTGCCTACCCTTTTGCTGCCCCACTTGAGGGACTCAGTGTTTCAGGTAATGTATTAAGTCTCAAATCAATGAAATTTTCAATAAAACTAGGAGATTATGTATCTCTTTAATTCAGTTGGTTCGTAAAGATGAAACATTTAAGAAAAACAGGAATTAGGGAGAAAGATGATTTGCAAATGGGAAGGAGACCAAGAGAAGGAGGGAAGGTGGAAGGTGAGAGGGGAATGGATAGAAAAGAATTGAGAGGTGTTATGTGCACACACTAGCTCCCCAGGAGGGATGTGGTCATTGTGTACAATTAACATGGACTAATAAAAAAATGAAAAAAAAAAAGGAAATCAATGGAAAGACCTGTTTATATTGATAGAACAGAAAAAAGATTAAGAGATAAATTTGTAACACCCATTAGCCCTCTGAAAGGATTCAATAAGATTCACCCAGATAGAGAACCCTCCTAGTATATTTTAAACAGTATTTTGGAGAACAACGTAAGGAACTTTGTATCATTTTTCCAAAGAACACTGTGTTTGCTTAACACTGAAGGACACTGGTGGGTAAGTGGAAGACAGTGTGGTGGGATGGAATAAGACAACCAGCAGGAGTCTGGTAGTCATTGGGATAATAAGATGAATGCATTGTAGGTTTCCATGGCAACCAGGGACCCCAGCTGTTCTTCTGCCCCAGCTTGGTGCACAACAGCCCACCTGTGCCAGGTCTCATCCTGCTTTTGAAGCAAATGTTTTTATTGCTACATTAAATTGTTCCGAGGATTCCAGTTTATGAAAGAGCACCAATTACTTTAGCTGAGTCTAAATTGCTAATGCACTTACTTATCCAGAAATGTTTTTCTAATAAGTGCTATAATTTTTCTTTTACAGAGATACATTTAGAATGAGCACAAAGAAAGAAAGTACACTTTCACGCTACATTTACACTTCATTAAGGTTTGCAGGGAGATTTGTTCAGGACCTTAGTTGACTTGTTTTCCAGCTGAGTTCTGGGAACAGTAATGCCCTATCTCATATAGAGTGAGGTGTTTGTGGGGGTGGCTACTGGTGGCTTAGAAAGCTTCTCAGAGGACTTTTTCCTTAATGCTTCCTCTCTGTGTCCTCCTCTTTGCCATTTATGAGGCGTGGGTCCACAGGTAAGATTTATTTCACTGTGTCCTGGCTCCCTGGCCATGCAATGAAGGTGACTATTGAACTTACCTCATTCAGCCTTGTCAAAATCAAAGGAGCTAATATATTTTGGAAGTTCTCATTATAGTACCCAAGAATATTTGATGTTCTCATAATTATTCATCTATCATGTCAGACTTATTTTTCCTCTTACCCTCAACATCTTATCCAGTAAACTCAAGAAAATATTTCTGCTTAGTTCATCCTACTTGTTTTCTTTAAACATCGAATCTCACTTCAAGTAAGAGAATGTGTGAATGTGGTCATACACTTCCCAAAAGACCTTTGCAGTCTTGGATAAATGGAAGAATATTCAAAGGGATAAGAAAATTGAGTCTGAATTTGGTCCTCGTGGAATCATTGGAGAGGTGGTCCTAATCATCTTAAGTATGGCTAGCTGTCTGCATAGCTAGTCACAAAGTTAATTAGCTCTACCAAAGTTGAGGGCTAACAGGCTGGGTTCATACTCTACTTCTGCCAGTGATTCGGGCCCAGGAAAATGTACTAAACTTTACTGAGTCTAAAGGGTATCTTGAAAATATCTTTAAAGTGCAGGCAATAATAAGTCATAGGATTATATGATTATTACACACAATGTGTGAAAAGCACACAGTAAGTCCATAATGCTTCTCTTTCCCATCATTAGTGCTAAAATTAGAATAATACATTCTTGGGCATGAAATTTATTTTAACATGACAATGAGGATACTAATGTAGAGGACCTTTTTCTATAGGGCATATCCATGTGAATAAACACTCAGGCTATAATTTCCTCTTCTTTGTGTTCTGTAGCATAAATAGTGTTAATACTGGAGTAGAACAGATTTTGTGTTCCAAAATAATGGCACAGTCAATGGCAGACCAAGGAAAAGTGCTAAGTACACAGCGAATTCATTAACACATTTTCTGGCCAAATACATATACATATGTATAAAATCAGTTATTCTAAGCATTGAAACAGCTATTGAATGCAAAAGCATATGAATACAAAGTACAGAAAAATACTTCAAACTTTTTTTTGTGAAAAATTTAAAAGTATATATGATGTACATTATCTACTAGAGTAGATAGCTTCCTTGAAGAGACGGTTTTGTTACCTGTGTTGGAGCCACTAATTCTAGTTCTGAAGTGGACTCGGAGTTGAGGGCACTTTTTCCACCACTCAGTTCTGGTTGAGATCTGTGCTCTGAGGACCTGAAAGAAATGCATTAATAAAATGAATATACATCAGCAGCAAATGCAGCTACAAATCCAGCCAAGGAAGTTAGTTATTTTGCATCACTGAAAGCCATGATAACAATGCTCTCATTGGTAGTGTGATGACAAAAAGTTAAGTTTTATAAATCTCTAATGCATGATAACTTTCAAGTATCTTCTTATAGAAAGTAAAATAATTAGGTGGACATGTGTGAGTTGAAACAAGACTGCCCTTTAAAAAGCTCCAGAAGATAGTAAAACTTAGGTGGTCAGATTTTTGCATGAGTACTATGGGCTATTCTTAATTGTTATATTATTTGACAGTGAATAACTGAAAACCAGAGGTTACCTGAATGACCAGAAAAATGTAACCATCATCTGTGTCTGTCTGTCTGTCTGTCTGTCTGTCTGTCTGTCTGTCT